CCCTGGTGCTGGCAGCTCTTGGGGCACCTTGGAGCTACACAGCGCATCTCCCACCTCCTGGTAACACACTTCTCATCTCAGCCTCCGCTCTATGTTCTTCTGCTTCCTGGCAATGTCCCTTCCCCTGCTGCCCCCTCCACCCCCTCCCCAGTCCTTCCCCTTTCCAGCTCCCAGACTGATGGGGTGCTTGTTGCCCACACTGTACCATGGAGGAGGACCATGCTGCACGACAGTGGTGGTTGCTGTTGTCTATCCATGATGAAAGGTGGGAGGAGATGACCAGCCTGAGTGTGTCATAGATGCCCTGAAAGCCATGGATCCCCTCTGCATGCCTGGCCCCAGCAAAGTGGGACAGCCTGGCCCACACCAATCCCTCCAGGAGCCAAATCCATGTTCTGGCTGTGCCTGTGATGTCCCACCTCTTCTTCCTCAGAGGAGCAGTTTGGTAGGTGGCCAGCGGCCAGGCTCAGCTCAGCTTGGCTTCCCACATCTGCCCATATTTATCACCTTTGGTTTTGAACTGAGCTGGCATTGTCCCCAGCAACTTCTCTTCCCAGCACTTCTGCTGTGACTCCCTGGCATTGACATCTCCCTGCTAAGTGCTGGGAACACTAACAAAATCCCCATAAGGCTCCACTGCCCTTTGAGGGACGCCTGGTTTATGTATTTGGATTGTTGGCAGGTGTGCAGCTTTGGACACAGACAAGGGTGCAGTGTCCACGCTGGCCCTGCCTCTCTGTGCTCCCCTTCTCCCCGAGGACACTGTGCAGAGGCAGAGCCCTTTCATTAGGGGGACCTTGCTTGGGTTGCTTGGTCCTGAGGTTGGGCTGAGCAGCACCGCTGACTCCTTGCACAGACCTGCCCTGAGAGAACTGGGATGTCAGACAGTGCAACTGCACATGCTGCAGTCCTGGGGCAGAAGAGCAGGTGCCTCTGGAAGGATGCTCCAGCAGAAGGAGGTGTCTTGTGGATCCCTGTCCTACCTAAACTCCCAGCAGGTGACCTGCTACCTCTGCCCTCCCTCTGCACAGGAAACCTCCCAGTCTCTCATCCTTGGTCCTCACATCTTTGCCAGGGGCTTTGGGATTAAGACAGTAGAGCTATTTTAGTTTGTGTCTCATGAAGCTGAGGAGACCTGATGATGCTCTCTCCTGCTTGCAGAACAGACTGCTACTCTGTAGGGTCCGCACTCTTTATGACTGCAATGCTGACCAGGAAGATGAGCTGACTTTCCATGCAGGTGAGATCATTGCGGTGTCTGAAAAGGAGGACAGCAACTGGTGGGTGAGTGAACCTGCATATGGTGACCGGCACTAGGATGTGCATGATCGCTCTCCATCCATCTCTTGCCTCTGTCCCATGACTGTCACACCCATTGTCATCTCCTGCTCTGCATCTGTCTCTCCATCTTCCATCTTTTCCTTGGCAATCAAAGGCAGCTGTTATGGGGCCAGTCCCTCATCCCCCTTAACACCCCTGTGCTACGCTCACCAATCCTTTTCCTTCCTTTCTCCCCACAGAGAGGGTGGATTGAAGGACAGCCTCACAGACAAGGTGTCTTCCCTGCTTCATTCGTTCATGTTGCTCAATGAGTAGGAGCTGCTTCAATTCAGGAAGGAAGATCTGATCAGCTGCTTATTCCCCAAGCTCCCATCTGTACCAAGGGCCCCAAGGATGAGCAGGCTGGGAGTGCCACCTCACCCAGTGCTGCCTCCCTCACCTCTGTTGCCACAGCATCCCTGTCCCCCCAGCCCACTCCTCCCATGGGCTGCCAGCAGTCCCAGGCTGTCCTAGAGGATCCCTTGGCCAGCCAAAGGGAGAGAACACGACAACCTACATACTCCACAGATATGCTCCTGCCCCAGACACATCCCCATGCAGGAAACAACCCTGGCCCATTCTGTTTCCAAATGCCTGGTTCTTGCCTTGTCCTGACCATGCTGCCTGTCCTGTGGTACTCTGTGCTCTGCTGGTGCTAATGGAAACAATGGTAGAGCAGAGCAGCACTGCACCCTGTGGGGCTCTGGAGCTGCAAGTGGAGCCATACTGGCATGCAAATCTGTGGGAAAGGGGCTTCTGCTAATGGCTGAGCACGCTGGGATCCTGGAAATACAAATGGGTGCTGTGGAGCCAGCACTACCTTGAGCCTGTGCCGTCCCTAATTCCTCCCACCCAGGTTTTACTGTTTGTACTCCAGCAAATGTGCTCTGTGGCAGCCCACAGCATTGCTCCTTCGGTGCCTGGCCCCCCAGCAATGGTGGAGAGGCCTGCCACCAATAAACACTGTCTCTTTGGTGCTCTGTATTTCACAGGAGTGTTCTACTTTGAGTTTCTAGATCCTTTCTCTTCGCTGCTCTCCCTCAGGCACCAAACCTCTTTGCAGGCATCAGAACAAAGAGGGCTGACCTCCCCTTGGATAAAATCACTCACGATTCAGCTTGCATGGCTTTTCTCTACAGACTCCGTTTTTCCAGTTGCCAAGGTACATTTGACAGCTTTCCTCTGTCCTCTCTGAGACAAAATACCATCCAGGTGAGCAAAAGAAACCAACTGGTGAGGTGCCGGATGCACGATGCTGTTGAGACCTCCATGTTGCTGGTGTCAGTGTGGCAGAAGTTGAGCCATCCCAGCAGGACCCATGGGGCAGGAGGGTAGTTCCACCCCAGGCAGCTTCTCCCACCCTCAGAGGAACATTTAAATGATTTTTGAATTTCCTGATTCAGTCCTGGGAACACAGCCAGAAGGACCAGTGGCTGGTGCAGTGCTGGGCTGTGTGGGAGGGCCATGCTGGGACACCAGGGTGGTGGGCACAGCCGGAGGAGGGATGGCAGTCCTGACCTCACTATGCCACTCGCTGTGTGGCTCTGTTCTCCCCCCACGTCATGGTGCAACACTTCCTCTTCCCGTGGTGGTTGTTGCAGTTTGCAACGAGCACTGGCGAGGCCACTGAGCCCAGGAGCATCACCTTTGCCTGGCCCTGCTCAGTGGCACTTCAGAGGACAAGGTGAGGGGTGTCAGGGACAGCTGGCTGGGGACCAGGGGGTTGCGACACCATAAGGGCCTCTTTCCTGGCTGCAGGGCTGGGGAGCTTCTGGCAGTGTGCCCTTGGGGCTGAACGGGGATGGAGCCAGATCTGTGGCCACTGGGTGCAGGCTGATGCAGTGTCTGCATGGCTGCAGTGTGGTGGCTTGTGGCCGATGGTGCTGGGCTGTGGAACCCCAAGGCAAGGGCATCTCTGGGCACAGGGACTGGGGGGTGGGGGTGGTGGGCGGGGTGTGTTTCAGCTGCTGTGAGGATGTGGGTGCGGGTGGAGAGGTCCTGTCCATGGTGCAGGGGCTGCACATGGGCACAGGCAGGGAGATGGGGCTGCTCAACCCTGCCTGTCAGGAGCCCTGCCCTCCCCACCGATGGGCAACTGCAAAAAAACTTAATGAAATATTCACTGTGCTGCCTGAGTCCCCTGGCTCTGGGCTTAATGGACTGGCTGGTGCCAGCCATGCAGCGCCAGCCAGCTCGTTCCCCCTCCATGGACTGTGGCTTAATAACCGCTGAGGCTCGCTGAGTGCACAAACCAGCCCAGAGGACTGCTGGCTCCCAGCCCAGCCGACGGGTCAGATGGGTGCTCTTTGCCTCCAGCACAGCGAACACTAGTTACTGCTGCAGGAGGGCAAAAGACTAAGTCATGAGGATCCGTGGCCGCCAGCAGAGAGAGCATCAGGAACCTTCAAGGTCCCCTTGAGCCTCTGGGGCAAAAAGCCAGCAATTCATGGCCGCTTCCTGCTTGGGAGCACCCACATCTGCGTTTCCGGCATGCTTGTGGTGGCTTGTTTGTACTTCCCTTCAGGAAGAGGTGACAGTTCAGTCACTTTTTGAAAGGGCAGGCTTGCAGTGGAGCGTGACCTGCTGCAGCCACCTGGGATCATCCAAACCCCCCTCTCATATCTCCCATCTCTGCTCGTTACTTAGACACCCAGGAGCAGCAGTTTTGCTGTCACGTGTGTAGCCTCCGAGTCAGATTTGAGTGCAGCTGGTTGTATGCCACAGTGAGCAGGTATGTCTGTGCTGCAGGAGTTGCAGAAAATGGTTAATGTGGAGAAATGAAGCCGGTGCTGACCCATGGCCCCATGTCAGCACCCGGGGGACTGGGAGAAGCACAGAGTGCTCCTGTGAGGACAGGAGGGTTTTTCGCTCCTTCAGGTCTCCCAGTACACAGGGACACCCGCCCCGCAAAATCTGCTGCAGTAGATTCTGACCCTGGGATGAAGGGTATCCTCGCATCCCTGTTCCTCACTCTCACCTTGGCCCATGCCAGGTCCTGAGAGGCTGAGCACATCATGAATACCCTGAGGACAAGAAAACCCTTTTCACTCTGACTTTAGGTTTACTTGACTGCTTGTAGATGGAGAATAGAACTCTCATTTAAATAAGGTTCATGCACATAGATGGCAGTTACTACCTCCTGCTCCTTCCTCCTGGCAATGATTCAGTGCCCTTGAAGCTGCAAAACCCCAGGGCCACTGGGGAGGGAGCACCTCACCTGCATGGGCTTGGCAGCGGCAGAGAGGCCAAGGGGCTCCTGTGCCCAGAGGCTGCTCCACAGGCTGGCGTGTGTAGGGAGGAGGCAGCAGGGCTTGCTGCCAGCAGAGGAGCTGCTTCGTGGGCCAGCGGCTGCCACTCAGGAGGGTAGCTGGAGTTTGGCAATGATGCTTTGCCATTTGTTCGCTGATCAGTTTGCAGACCCTAAAAGTGTTGTGGGCAGAGAGCAGCCCCTCGTACAGTACGTGCTGCCAGCCAGCCCTGCCTGGACCTAAGTAACTGCGGCAGTGCCAGAAGCACAACACAGCAATAAAGCCACTGAACAGTTTGAAAAGGAAATGCATACCAGGCTATATTTCAGGTCCCTGCAGGGTTGGTGAGCAGCCAAAGGGTGTTCCAGGAGGCTGGACAGGGAGGGTGGGTGGGAAGGGGTCCTGTGATGCCACTGCCACTGGTCCCTGTGACATCTCGCTGCAGGCTGCGTGAGGGATGCTGTGCCAGAGGCGCACACATGTGGTGCTGGCCCTGTGCCTGCTGCTGGTTCTGTGGCAATGTTTCCGAGCCCCCACAGATGGCCTCAGCCCCTTCCCTTGGGCTCCCTCCCACCTCAATGCCCCTGCTGCCTGCTGCACTCCTGGTGCCAACAGCTCCGCATGGTTCAACTCCAGCTACAACATGGCCATGGGGCCTCTGCTGACAGGCGCAGCCCACGAACTCTCCTCTGATGTGGTTCAGTGGTGGCTGGTAAGTGAGGGCATGGGCAGAAATGCGGGGTTCTTCCCAGGCTCTCTGAATCTGTTTGCGGTGGGGCAGGGCCAATGTCAAATCAGGCAGATACAATGGGGGATGAAAGGGGTGCAGGGACCCCAGCTCACCACCCTCCCCACCTCTCTGGGCTGTCCCACACCCTTTTCCTAATATCCCACTGGGGTTTTCTGTGCCTTTCCCAGGGCTCTGCTGGGAGAAGTGGGGCTCTGTCCCCCTTTGGGGGGGGGCGGCTGATGCTGCCTGTCACTGCCTTTGCTCCCCTAGACACTGCAGGGTCCCCAGAGTGGCACCCAGCTCCAGGCCATAATTCAGCAGCTCTTCACTGTCCTCCGGGCCCCGACCAGCAGCGTGTGGGACCAATCTTGCTGCAGGACTTGTGCGGTGGTGGGGAACTCGGGGCGGCTGAAGGGGTCTGGCCATGGGCTACAGATCGATGCCCATGACTGGGTGCTGAGGTGGGTGACCTGAAAGGGCTTGGGCCCTCCCTGTCTTCTCAGTGTGCCCCAGCTACCCTGTGAAATCCACCAGCCCAGGCCCTGTGATGGCAGGGGGGCCCTGCTCCCTGGAGACCCCCACCCTGGGGCATGCACTGGCCTTGTGTTATCCATGTCCCCTCTTTGCTGCTGGCAAGGGTGACCTGGTGTCCCTGCCCAGTGGGACCAGCAGCCTGGGACTGGCACAGCGTGCACCTTCATTTCGGGATATGCCTTCCTGCTATCCCCCTAGGATGAACAGAGCAAAGATCGCTGGCTTTGAACTGGATGTTGGCATGAGAACCACCCATCACTTCATGTACCCAGAGAGTGCAGTGGACCTCGGGCCCGGCGTCCACCTCGTTCTTGTCCCCTTCAAGCCACTAGACCTGCAGTGGGTGGCCAGCGCCTTCTCTACTGGAGAGCTCACGCAGTGCGTCAGCTTCAGGGAACAGCATCTCTTGTGCTGGAGACCCTGGAGATGGCGCAGGGTGGTCCTGGGGACCCTGGTGCCTCGCTGAGGCCCTGGCACCATGGTCCTGGTGGAACGAAGGGCTCCTGGCATTCATCTGCACTTAAGTTCAGGGAAGTGGGCACTGAACCATCCCTGCAGGGCTTGGACATCCTGGAGTCCCATAATGCCCATGGGTGGGATGGTGGCTGTCCCCGCTGTGGGGCCATGGGCTTGATGTGTCCCTTCCCAGAGCCAGGCCAGGGGATGCTGCTGGGCCAGCCCAAGGGGCTGGGGGTGCCATGGGGCCAGGTGCTGGGAGACACGCCACCCTCTGCAAACCAGCCACCTCCAAAGGAGAGGCCCTGCAGTGGGAGTGCCCTTTGCTCACTGCTGTCCTCTGGCTTTTGCAGCACATACGTGAGAGTGAAACAGTTCATCGAAGCTGATAGAAACAAGGTAAGGGCTTGGTGGGCTCCAGCTCCTCCTGGGCAGGCAGGGCTCCTCTGGGTAGAGACCAGGCTTGTTTTTCAGCAAGATGTGGGCAGAGCTGGTGAATAGAAGGGACGATGGCTGTGCTGGTGGTGAGGGGCTGGCTGTCCCATTCACAGCATGGTGAGCAGCTGGTGGCTCCTCTGCTCCTCACTCAGGTGCTGATCCTGAGCCCAGCTTTCCTCAAGTACATCCATGACAACTGGACACAGCACCATGGGCGGTACCCCTCCACCGGCTTCACAGCCCTGCTTTTCGCCTTGCATGCCTGCCAGCAGGTGAGCACGGCCAGGTGCTGCCACCATACCACTGCTGCACTGCTTGTCCATGCGTTCTCAGGCTGACCTAGCGACCGCACAGCAATGGCTCTTGCTGGTGTGTGCACAGGTCTCCGTGTTTGGCTTTGGCGCAGACAGTGAAGGGAACTGGCACCACTACTGGGAGAAAAACCGCTGGTCTGGAGCCTTTCGCAGGACGAGGGTCCATGATGCTGACATCGAATTCAGCATCATCGAGACATTGGCAGCTGAAGGCAGGATTTTATTCTACAAATGATGCATTTCCAAGAAACTGAAGCCAGGCTGTTAGCACAGAAGCTCGCAGCTCCCTACACTGCCAGCAGCTGCCTTGGCTCTTTAGCTTGCTTCTCCCTGACAGTGCTGCCACCTGCCCAGGCTCACAGACCCTGCCATCCCTAGGGGTCTCGGTGCTGCTTGTGCTGGTCCCACCAGGCGGGCACTATTGGTGCCAGGAGGTGACACACTTCCATGGCATCAGGGACGTTGCATTTGGTTGGACACAGGGTGGGCATGGCTGTCCCCACACTGGCTGGGCGAGAGGAAGAGGAGACAGTTGGGCTGGAAGTGGCTGTGGAGCCTGTGAGCTGCTGTGCATGTCCCTGTGGTGGCTGCGAAGCCACTGGGTGATAGTGGTGGTGATGGCAGCTACTCAAATGTGGCTGTCCATGTGACAGAGCTGACACCTCCACCCGCTGATGGCTTTGGGGGGAGGTTTGTAGTTGTTCTTTGGGCAGGAGGAGAGGGGCATCTTCCTTTCCTGTCTTTTTATATCTAAGGAAATATTTTAAAAATTGTATCAAAGAAGCGTGAGAAAGGAAAAAAACCAAGCATGCTAAGTCAGAAGATGACAATCAAGTACAGCTGAAATGATCTTATATTGAATAAACTTTGAAAACATACATGAATCTTTTATTAACATTTGCTTTACTTTTTTGAGCCCTTACTGCTTTGAAAAGATAGTACAACCTATCTCAGCCCCACCCTGCAAAACAAGATTGCAGACCTTGGAGACTGAGCTCCCCAAAGGATGTTTTCTCCTCCAGAGCAGGGTGTCTTTTCCCACTTTCACTCACAAACATGAATAGCCTTGAATCAGACTCAGCTTTTCCATGGCTATTAGTCACTTTGGTCTTTCAGTCTATTAAAATCACTGGTTCTCTCCTACTCATAAGCCCCCATTTTATAGCAGAAGCCTGTATTACTTAACTATTAGCTTCCTTTAATTTCTACCTCTCCAGGTAGAATCTCCATCTCTGTATGTATGTGTCTTGTTTCTCTTCTCCATTATATCTATTTTCCCACATTGAGTACAAGTCTTGCATTTATTTAACCTGCCCCTTCACCTTCCCTCTATTTTCTCTAGGTGCTAAGCAGTGCTCTGTGTGATGCTCTCCAATGCTTTTCTGAGGTTTACAAGTAACTGGCTTTCTTATCAAAGACAAGCAATTAGCTGGTAATTGTTTAACTGTGGGTTAAACTCTGCTGCATTATTTCCATTCATCTTCCCCCTCTTGAGTAGTCTTTCAAATTTAGTTACAAAGCTGTGTGCTCTGCTGAGTGATTGAAGCTGTTTGGGTCCTGATAAAACATATAAATATTATGTCCCCTTCCTCACATTGTAAGAGTACTGTATGATCCTGACCTAATGTTTCAAACGTTTGGTTTTTTTACAAACCCTTTTTTTTTCAGTATTCAAGCTTGGAGATTAATCAAGTCTCCTTACTCACACCTCAAATTGCTTCTCCCCCGATTGAAAAAACACAGGTTATTATACTCCCTGGGTTGTAGATAAGTTCAACTAAAAAAAAAAAAACAAACCACAAACAAAAACTACTTTCAAAAGAACTATAAAATAGCTTTCTCTCTGCATTATCTGATCCTGTGCCTGTCACTTGCTGTGCACTGTTGGACCAATTGCTTTGACCAAGTTTAGAGTTAATACCAAAGCAAATCCAGAGTTGAGACTTAAGAGTAATGAGTCCGGTTTGCCTCAAAATGAGGCAGGAATACACAATATTTTTTCTCATTATTTTCAAATTTCTTCCAATTTAATTTCACATACCAAGCACTTTACTCACTTGTGTAGATCATTAAAAAGAAAAGAAAAAAACCACCATCATCTTGACATCCACATACTTTGTCACAATGCAGGTGTGTTTTTTAATTATAATTTCCAATTCAGTACCAGGATTAGTCCAAATAATTTAATTATTCTTCCAAATGCTTTACCAAAACACGCAGAGGATAGACTTTATTTCAAAATATAAACAGAGGGGAAGTGAAAAACACAATCCAATCTAAAAATCTAGAACTCCAAACACTTTTTTTGCTGAAACATCAACTTGCATCTTTTGTTAGAAGAGCCATCTGGAGCAACTGCAATGCCCCACAGTAGAGTAAGCACATCCCAAAAGTGCTAGGTCTCACCATGTCGCCCAGGACAGCTGGAAGGAAAGCACATGGGATTCAGCACATTTTCACAGAGATCTGGCATACAGCATCAGCACACTCACTCAGGAACATGTTTAAGAAAAATTAAAAAAGCTAGATGGTGTTGCTAGAAAGCTTATCTGATGGCAACTTCAATCCATTCCAGGTCTCATGACAATACAGTAAATTATTCCTGGAGGCAAACAGAATGCAGTTATCTCCAGCATCTCTTTCGGGGAGGGGGGCAGAACTGGATGAACATGGACTGACAAAAAAGGGTTTTTACAGTAGGGTCTGCACAGCCAGACAAGATGGCTAATCTTTACAGCAGCAAGGTTCAAGCAGTTCCGTCCACTAATTAACGCCAAAGAACAATGGGACACTAACATAAGAGCAGTCAGGGCCATCTGGTAATTCCAAATCTCTTCTCTTGTGCACTCAAGAAGATCACTTGTATTTCGAAAAATCTGTTTAGTTCTACTTAGAGGGGTTTTTTTTTGTGGGGTGAGGTCATTGCTTATTTATGCTGTCTTCCCAAGCTCAATTTTCTTCTGGATGGCACGTGCTGAGTGATAGATCAAGGAGTCAATGAATCCTGCAACTAGAAGGAAAAAACAGATGGATCAAGCCAGACATGCTTCAAAGAGAGAGCAACTCCCAGGGAAAGAAAACACAAACCCTTCTGTCAGTGGAAAGGAATTCCAGCTCCACCAGACAGAAAACAGCTGCTGTTGCTCAGAAGAGTAAGGTCCTCATCTCATCAGGACAGACAGAGGTAATCATGCTTCTCCAGAAGAAGATCTCTCTTGCAGAAGTAAAAATGAGACAAGGCTGAGTCACTTGTGTTTACTGATGAGTGAGAAGAGTTTCGAGAGGAAGCTGATGCCGACAGCTCTATGCCATGTCATTGCCCTGACCCAGCTTGCCAACGGCATGTTTCCCATTTCTCACTCATTTCACAGTAACCTTAAAAATATGCTACTCTACTCAATGCTGCCCTTGATGGGTGCCTTTTATTGGAGACTGCAATGTTTACCCACCAAGGACAAAAAGCAAAACAAACTGATGCCTTCAGGTTTTTCTGCAGTATTTTTCCCAAATCTCTCCAGCACTGAAGGAGCCTATTAATTCACCGCTTGTTTGGGACCACAGAAAAGCTCAGAATGGGTCTCCTGCATCACAAAACCCAGACAACCCTGCATCCATCAAGGTGGCTTGCACAGGACAGGAACCCTGAGCTTCTGCCAGGGAGGGAACACAGGGTGCCAGTGAGCAAAGGTATTTTCAATGCCTTTACGAAGCTTCATGTTCTTTTTTGTTTTATTCAACACCTCAATCTAAGGAATAAGTAAGCAATTACTTGGCCCTACACAGACATTTCAATATTATATAAAGAGTAGCAGCTAAAATGGGAACTGAGTCTTCTGTTTATTTCTGTAGAATAAGGAATTATTGGCCTTACTATCTGGTCTTTGAGTAATGCTTCAGATGACTGTCTTTTGTGGTTGTTTTGCCCTGAAATTATATCTACCTGTGGAATCAATTTGATGCTGTAACACAAAAACTGTTACGCAGCTGATTTAATCTGTCCTCTAGAATACAGAGTCTGAACATGGTGTATGGCAGCAAACACTATGAACTGGCTGTCAAACCTAATCAGTGCTAGAGGGCACTTGCATTTGTCATGAAAACAATTTTTTAAAGCCTTTCTCCGAGTCAGCCATAGAAATGAACACAAATGATCAAATTTGTTAGAGACAGAAATCCTGTTTAACAGTATCAGCTTAACTGAGCATAGTGACATCTCAGGTGATGGGAAAACCTTGCAGATAAAGGTATTACGTGATATAGGTATGTGATACAGGTGTTACGTGATATAGTAGCTGGCTTCTGAGGTCCAGTAAGATCTGCTGACCAGACCTCCAGGCTGGCCCTTCACAGCCACGTGAACATCTCTGACTGTGTTTCAGAGCACCCTGGGTTATTAGCTGGAGTGCAAGGCTGGACCAAGGCTGGTCTCTGTCACACACGTGGAGCTGAGCAGATACTGATTAGCTATTCCAGAAGTCAGCACTGAGAATGAAGTCCAGACACTCAAATAGCTCTGCAGGAACAGCCTCTCCTTACAGGACCCCATCTAGCTGTGAGGGCTCCTTTTAGTCCCTGCAGACCACTCACTGAAGCTCCTATGTCTGGGAACACAGTCTGAGACCTCTGAGATGGCTAGGCCCATGGCAACCTGGGTTCACAGATTTTACTGGCTTTGGTTCCACATGAAAGCAACTATCTGTCTACAGACCCAAGCTGGCCAAGGAAAACAGTACAGATGCATTCATACGGTATGTGAAATACCACATCATTTGAAGACAAAATGTCCTGTAGAGCATCAGAATGAAATATTATGATAGGTCTACATCAAATGAAATATTATAATAGGTCTACATCACCTGCAGTGCTATTTACAATCTGATGCCACTCCCATGGGTCTGCAAAACATGCTATATACCCCTCCTGAAGGCTGAAATCATCTCTCCCCAAACAGGGATTTATCACCAGCCATGAACACTTTAGAAAGAGTAAGATGGCAAATGTTTACACTTTAAAAAGAAAAAAAGATCAAAAGGTGCAATACCTGTAAATATGCCTCCAACAATGGCACAAACTCCCGTGAGAAAGTGTGTAAAGGACCTAGAATGAGGAAAACAATTTGAACAACCACCATGAGCTCAGATACCAGTATGTCAGATAAGTAACAACTAATAAAAACTAATTAATTATCATAATGTTCATCATAGCACATAAGTATGCATTATATAAATATTAATAGCTGACAATTAACATATTTAACAATTAAATAACCCCTATTGGCTACAGAATGGAGCTTGTCACTGATACTCTTACTAAGCAGCATTGAGTAGCATTAGAGTAGCGCACTCTAGTGAGTTCAATGGTAACACTAGGAGGCAAGTACTGAATTTATAAGCCTAAAGGACAGAATTTTAGTCCCTAAGATTTTATCCATTCCTATGCAGACAGAATGTACAGGAGGCTTCTGTAACAAAAAAATTAGATCCCTAAGTACATGTAAATACATTTTTAAGTATAGACACTGGCTGTCCCTCATTATGATCCTGAAAGATCGGACAGCTACAACCCCTTCCATTCTCCTACATGCATGTGATTAACAGAGGATCCGGAAAGAAGAAGGACATTTCACACTGACAACAACATGCAGAAAAGCTCTAGCAAATGCAGAGTGAGTAAGCAGGCTGGATCAGCTTGGGTGCTGCTGTAAGTGTTGGTAAGATGGGTATGCTATATAAATCTAGTCTTCCCATTAAAAAAGACTTTGAAGAAATTAGTCTGGACCAAGAACCATTATGTCAGACTTCTCTTTGCTGCACCAATTTCCTCCGTTTTGATACTGGATTAAAACGCTTCAGGTGGTATCAGAAAAACCCCAATCCCTTTCAGATGTTCACACAGAGAGAAAGGGCATCTGGGAGTGCCTCTTCCTCTCCACTGACTGGGAAGGGGCTTGGATGGCTTTCAGGCATTTGCACTGTTGTGTCTAAGTGAGGACAGAGTCTTAAGCTATGCAAAATGACAAAAAGCAATGGAGGGTGATGAAATAGATTGAAATGTCTCTTACCTGTGTTTCTCTGTCAGCTTCACCATCATGGGCGAAAGTTCATATAGCACAAATACACCAGGCAGACCCTGGTCTCCCAGTAGCCCGTTGGCTATCTTCTCATGTCGTGTAACTGAAAACTGGTTAGTCCTTACCACCTAGCAGGAAACAAACACAGCAAATGTTTTGTTAACAAGGAATAGGAAAGGCTACTAAAACATGAGTTCAGTGAACCGTATCAGTGTAGCCCTGCCCACTCACTTGTGGGGGGCCTGACAGTGCTTACAAAGGGTCGTAAAAAAAGCACCATCAGGATGGAGTCTATTTTTCCTACAGGCTATCAGTTAAAGCCCCAGCTAGCCCAAAGAATGAGTGATGCATCAGTCCCCAGGCCGGACTGTTTTGGTCTCTGCTGGCAAGTAACGGCACAAGCTGTTCCTCTCGACCTCAACCCCAAGTCCACGTCATCTTCCACCAAAATGTAGTCCACCTAAGCATGCTTCAGGAGACAGCATCGATATGAGAAAACCATATATATGCAAGAGTGAGAAAAATGGAAATAATACATAAAGGCAGGAGAGTGCCAGGGCTGCAGAAGGACACAGGTTGCCCATCTTTACATAAATGAAGATCACCCTGCAGCATTCTTCTGCACCCTGCCATTCTTCTACACGTTCATACCAGTCCCATTCTTAGAGCAAATCAGTTGGGTTTCTGTAAAATGACATTATGTTCTATCATCCCTAATGAGCTATCTGACACAAATTACAATCCAAGCTGAGAAAGATACTATCCAGTTTCTTCACCAAATTCCACATTTCAGGGTTCCAAGTACTGAATGTATAACACAGCCCCTGGTATACATCTGGCAGCACACTTGGATCCATAATTACCGTAAGTATAAGCATCATGGTCTGCATGGATTCCTCTCCTGGTGACTAATAAAAAGCAATTCTTTTGACAGGAGAAGTCCTTTGAAAACTGAACAACAGCTCTACAGTAGTGTGCAAGATTGCATCAAGAGAAACAGAAGCCATGGCATACTAGGAGGTGGCCCTAAGAACAGGGCTCTGATTAACTATCCTTTGTACTTCAGGAATTTCAATCATCCACAAAAACTCCTGAAGCATCCTGAACCCAAGCAGAATGAGCTTCAAACATGGTCTGAAGGTTCTCCCAATATCACATTATAGCAAGTAACTTCCATTCAACTTCCAGGAAAGAACAGATGGGTCTTTTTGTCTTTTCTAGGCAGGGGACTGAAGAAAGAGTGGTCCACATAAGGATTTATCACATGAGAACCAAGTCTCGCAAACAGTTTCAATCTTTAGGGCAGATGAAGAAATACAAACTATGTCTACCTTTCAATGGATTCTCTCAGACTGCTCTGCCCACGCTGCTCTAGGATACCTTTGCTTGCAGGTCTGCATTGTACCTACCGTGGCCGTGTGGCTCCTCAGATTTGTGGTTCCTATGCAGCCTCTGACATAACTAATAATCTGCCAGTGATTTACATTCTGGAGCGCCTAAAGCAAACATGAAGGTTGCGTGGATGTGCAGTAGTATGTTGTTCTGATAGCAAGGATACGTGGTACCTGCCCGAGAGTGGGATGAGTTTGGGTGAAGAGCCCGAGGTGGTAAGGGTTCCCAGTGTTGTGGGTTTGCACAGCGTTATAAAACTGCATAGGACAAGGGAGTCAAAATCTGGTGTAGTTTCATCCACAGGTAGATCAGTCCTTATGCTGAACAAGCCCCAGAACCACATTTGGGTTTCACCTCAGAGGAAGCTGGTTTGGTGTTAAAGGGAAGCTGGGCACGGACCACCCATGCAGCATAGAAGATACAGAACCAAAACCTGGGAGACAGCTAGGGAGCTGAGCCGTCTTGTACGTGAATGTTCAACAGAGCTACTGGGGCATATGGCACCTGTCTTTTCCTCACAGGCTTACGTAAGTACACTGGGTAGCACTGGCAGTGAAGTCTGCACAACAGTCAAGCTGCTGCCTCTGCTGGTGTTTTCTTTGCAAAAGAAACATAACAGCTTACATCATTCTGCTGCCCTAAGACTATGGGGGCCCAAATAATGATAACTGCCAGGTTTGGTTTGGTTTTTAAAAAGAGGTTCTCTGGAGATCCCCTACAGAATGATGATGGCAACCCACGTGAACGCTTCCAAATGAATGAAAGAAATCACAGTTCTTTCTGCTCCCTCAGGCTGACTTCAGAGGAGAGCATAAGTTTGTCTGTGTTCTCAGGATCTTCGTCTCACCCTGGTATCTCCTTGGTAATTTATTTATCCTACCTGTCCGAAAAGAAGGGCATATTCTGAAAGCAGGGCTGGAAATCCGGCCACGCTCTTTTGGAGGCTAAAGGAGTTTTTAAATCGGAGACAAGCTGATCTGGGGTTACTCTCCAAAGAACATTTTTAGGATCTCCTTGCTGCTTTGACTTCTCCTGAGCGTGCACTATGAGGGATTCATGAGGGAACACGATGAAAGTGGCGTGGTCACTTTGATCTAGGTGGGATGGAAGACACTGAATTCTGCTTCATCACTGCTGTAACATTACAGATAACATTACACCATAGAAATTGGTATTCTTGCTGGGGTGGTGACCTGAAGAAAGTCAAACAGATTGTGTTGCTTCCACCAGAGGTCAGATATGGTCAGCGTCAGAATATGAGGAGAAAGTCTGAAGGGTTTCACTTGCCAAAGCAATAGGGAAAAAAGGTACTTACTTCACCATCTACTTTCATATACACCGTGGGGACCACTTTGACAAAATACTGAAACATCATGGAAGCTATAAGCAAAGACAGAGAGACACAATTAACAACCAGTGAAGAGCTGGAAAGCTTAACTGACACGTGCAGAAAGACGTTCTCTGACAAGTTGAACAAAACCAGTTTGTGTCTACCAAACAACAGCTACTGGAGGTTTTCAAGGACAGTAAAGTTAATGCCTGACATGAGTTTTCCTTTTGCCAAAGTAAATATTGTTCCTGTACCAACCAAACCCAAAACTTGGTTTTGGCCTTGACTAAATGGAAAACTTTCTAACAAACCAGTTTTCTTGCTATAGTTTCACCAGTACAACTTCTTGAAAATTCTTATTCTAGCACATGAAAACCTTTATATTTAACAGCATATCCCTAAGAAAACATACTCAACTCTAAATGAGAATCCTCTATCAATGTCAACTAATGCTACAGTTTATTCCTGTAGAAGCATGGGTTTCATCGTATCAGGAGATGAAAAGGAAGATCTAGATCAGTGAAGAAAAAAAAAAAATAGGAGGAGAACTCCTCCTGCTGCCTCAGACCAGCCTGTCCCTTCAGTTCTCTTATGGATAATGGAAGGCAGGAGTCGCTTTGAAAACCTGTTTTCTGTGAAATTCCCTACAGGAGAAGATTATTCATCCATTTCTACAGCAGAAGTCATTCTCATATACAAGATCTTTAGCTGGTCTTCAGTAAACATAAATTTGACCTGCAATCTACTTCTCCCACTTCTTTTCCAGACCACATCTTCAGTCCTAATTCCTCAAGAATGTGCCAACTGGTTCTCCAAGGCCCAGGATGGAAAGCTGCAGCCTAAATAGAGAATTTTACCAGCCAGCTATGGGTCCCCTCTCAGGAAAACTACGGCATCACAATCGTATCGAGCATTATCACACCTTTTCATTTTTCTGTATTTTATTTTAAGCACCATCCTTTGATTTGGGTACAAGAATTAAAATCAATGGTGGAAAATTTAAAAGAGCAGATTCAGGTAAGATTAACAATCCTACCACCACCTCAAAGCAAACAACTTCTCTCTCTAAGCTTTATTAGCGCAAACTTTGCAGACTTCAGCGGATCTAAAAAAATGACTAATCTCTGCAGTGGCATATAAAGCAGTACGGTCAGGATCTTTCACAGAAAATGCACACAAGCAGGCTTGTGTGAATAAACCAAGATTAGAGTTTGAGCAGTAGCAGCATGAGGACGGAATTGCCTTTCCTTCTCAAGCCAGCAAACTGGAGCTATCTAGAAAAGATCAGCTATATTTCAACTTCACTGCAGCTGTTCAGCTGTTACTGTTGGGTAGACCAAGGTCAGGCAGACACCATGACTCTCCAGCAACTATCAATTAGGCCTTTTTTTCTCTCTCCTGCATCTTCTGGTTACCTCCTACTGTGCACAGTAGCTAGACAGGGCTCTCCCTGAACTACACCTGATGCAGGTGTTTAATAATGATGTGCTGTACCTGCTGTTGTGCATCCACGAACACTGAAAAGACAGATCTTTCTGAAAGATCACAGAATGAAAACACGTTGGCACATTTGTTCCAGATGAATGGAGGCAGCTCTTCCAGAAAGAGCACAACGTGGAGGAGTCCACGTTCTATGCAACATTGTCAGGGTTCTTGTGAAAGACCGGGAACTTTGCTCCTGTTCTCTTCTAACACTTATTAATATGGACACTTAAAAAGAGATTTCTCTCAGCAGGCTTTTACCTTGCTGTGCAGCAACGTCCGTCCCGTCCAGAGGGTTCACAATGCCTGGATAATCCCTTCCAAATGAGAGATGCTTGATATAGTGCGTCATATTGATCTGAAACAGAAATGCTAATAACTCAAAACAACTGCATAGCATCCAAGCGGCAATGTAAGGGGCCTAAAGTTAATTATTTGTATCTTTTTCTGAGTGTGGTTCTGGAACAGAGACAGGTCTTCCCTTACTCTGTGCATCCTAACAGTAAACTCCAAAGCACTTGCTCTTCTTTTTTATTAATGGGAGATTCCAAGATGTGGAATTTCTCCTCTTCCTGCTGGAAATCCCCAGATCCTGCTGCTTCTCCCTCCCATCTACAGAGCAGGCTCTCCCACCCGCTCCTCTCCCTGCCATAGAACCACACTGTCAGCACCTTGGTGGCATAGGTACAGGTATCATCTGCTTTCCTTCCAGCACAAGGCAAACTCCAACAGATCCAGAAGCAGTTGTGAAAATGTCAACCTTAAAAAACTGGGAAGCACAGATTAAGGAGCAAGGCACTCTCCAGAAGAGGGGAACAGGCTTGCCAAGCAACACACAGATGTCCCAGAACATACTTCAGAGCCTTGTGTGAAAGCAGGTCCCAGGCTCTGCCCAGAGCCATAAAGCCAAATCTGGCCAGGATCTCAATGTGGCAAAGGGAGGGAAATCCAGAAGGAAAATAGACCAAGAGAACCAGAACACTGTCTTGGGAACACTTACATTATCAAGTCCGAAGCTCTGCAGATCGTGAACTGTAATAGAAACATAGTTTAACAATATAGTTCAGACTGCAATAATGAGCCTATCTACTTACCTTATGCTAGCTTATAAGGGAGCTCCTCTCATTTCCATTGCGATCTAAAATGGCAAGAAAATCACCTCGGTTTCTCTCTTGCTTCCAGTAGGGCATGTGATAGATAAAACTGCTACAATTCCCCTCCTGACATAGACTAGCCACTGCTACAGTGAAGGAAAGTAACTTTAACTTGGGGTTACTTCAGATCAGGTATTTCAGTCCTCACCTGAATGTATTCTTAATCTAGGGCAAAAACAAGATCCTAGTGGCAAGCAAGGAAAACTTCACTGTTATCTCAGTCACCACCTGATATGCATAACTCCTCTAACTACCGTAAAACACAGAGACACAGCAGATCTAAACTAACAACTGAGCAGAGCACATGCCTTAATATCATGTGCAAGTGCCCTCAAGAAACCATTATCATCTTAGCATCTCTCAGTGCTCTGTCTATCAGCCCTGTTACTGGCTGCCTGGAGTACACACAGGGACAGGAAAAGAGTTGGCAGGGCCGGCCTGAGCAGGGTATTTGCAAACCAGTGGTGGGGCCAAGGTAAACTCTCACCAGTGCTAGGATTTGGGCAATTTGGCCTGCCCCCTCTCTGCCCTTCCTGCATGCAGCAATATGACAACAACAGCAGCACCATGCACCCCCAGGAAGGATCTGGCAAAGATACAGGCAACGGGATATCTTTCAGTTGGCTATTTAAATGACTTAAGGCAGTGCCAGAAGCATCAGTCGCAGGATGAAAATACAACTTGCAACTCAATTTCAGTATCGCTCCTACCAGGTTTATCCAAAGGCACGCAGTCATCTTAAAGCAGCCAGAGGCTGTGGTGCATTTTAACAGGTAAGTTCACATGCTCAGGGAGCCAGACCTCACCCTTCTTTCAGCTGTCACCTCAGCCAAGAAAAACACACTTCAAAAATCACAGGCTGTTATTTGAGGAGCTGATGGACTCAGATCGCCAAGGGCTGCTGTTAACCAAGATTAGGAATGCTGCTCCCTTGAAGGGTTTCTGATATACAGCCTAGCACAAGACAAGCTGCAAACCTAAAAAACTGATTGGAACTAGCCTCCCCTTTAAAACATTTATTTAACATGAGTGTGCTGTGAACTAATTTTTTTTTCCATTAACATCTTTCAGTAAACTACCAGAAGCTTTACTTGTATCCCTATAAACCCCTTATAAACCCAAAGAGATATACATGCAAAACAGAGAATGCACAGTTAGAAAAGGAAATACTAAGCCTAAGCTATATGCCTTCAAACACTCTGATCTAGGGAGAGGCCCTTGCATTTCACAGTTAAAACGTTCAATGCTCAGAAACTAAGGCTGCAGTCACTGCAGTTAAGGCAATGGTTCTGCATTACAAAGAGCTCAGAGCTGCACTGGCTTCAGATATTCCTGTGGCTGTCTCTGACAAGCATGCAGACCTATCACTGCCACTAGCACAATGGTTCGTGTGCCTGGGCTGGCAACTGGATCAAAGAACTTATTTGGCTTTAAAAAAGAAACTCCCACTAAAAATTTGGAAATAAATGTGAAATGGTGGGCAGGGAAAGGAAAGAAGGGAGAAGTGGCCTTGAGATTATGCTATGCCGTTTTTCTCAACAGTTACCAGCAACACCCTGTTTCATGCTGCAGTATTATTTGCACTTAAGGCAAGAGTTAAGTGGCTTAGCTGTCAGTGAAGTGTCAAGTCCTGCTGCCTTTTGTACAGACACCAGCAGGCTAACCTTCAGTTAACAACAAAGTGCTACAGAGATCCCAGCTCTGGTGGATCTGCATTTAAACTGGACCTACTGCCAAAGGAATAAAACAGTCTTTGTCCCCCCATCTTTCTGTTGATGGCTCCTTCCTGTTCCACCCCCCTTTCAGTCATGAGCCACGTCAGAGAACGTAACAGGCCAAAATGTAAGTATTGCTTTATGTGAGCCTGTTCTTCCAGCCAGAGCCGCTCCAGAATAAGGTTAATCATGTCAGCTTTAACGCTTGGGTAGTCACATTCGTTAGCCTCTGAAGTGGAAGCTGAGTACTAGTAAGGCTGACAAATCTTACAGTAATAGCGCAGTACCAGACAAATTCAACGGCAGCACTTGACAAAGACCAGCCATTACCTAACCTGTTAGACTAGGTTTACATTGCACCTGACCGATTTTAACAGGTATGGCTATCCAAAACAAAATTTCCCCACAGTGCTCTGCCATGCCTTCCACAGATAAAACGCCAATTAATTAGTTTTTATAAAACTCCTCTCCAATAAATTATTTACAACTCTGTGAAAACACACTATTTATATGTTCAATTTCTAAAACAATGTTCCACCAGACCACAGGTTGGTTTATCTCTGATCACTGAGGATTATGCTAAGTATGTATGTATGTATGTACTCTAGGTTGCAGATAAATGTGTGGCTAGCTATAGTTTGCTTAACATAAAACAACAGGCTGTTTAGCTTGCTTAGAGAAGAAACTGAGTGTAAAAGGAACTAGGCCTTAAGCCTCATTGTTTTAAGACTATTCACCTTATTGTTTTAAGACTATTCATATTAGACATATAACTAATGATTGGATATTGGTTTAGATATGATTAATAGAATGCAGGTGCATATAAAACAATATCTATGAGCTGCATAATTGTTCTATGAGACTCCCTCTTCATGGCTGGCTTAGAATCCAGTCAAGCTGAATCAACAGAGGAAGGATCATACATCTTAGACCTAAGTGATTAACTTTAGAATAAGATAAATTAATAAAATAACCTGAGTAGTTTCTTTAGAAATTCATAGGTACCTTTGAAGCGTAAGAAGATAAGTGATGATGGTGACCGGAGACTTTCTGCCTGTGACCACCAATCTCAGAAGAACCGAGACATGAGAATGGAGAATGGACAAGATAAGATGATGAATGATAATGATACGAGAACAGAAAATCAGCTGGAAAATTACAGAGACTTTGGATTGGGACAATGGGTGGCAAAAGGGTATATAAGATTTGGAAACTTTTGGAAGTGCGCCATTCACTGCAGTGGTGGCCCAACTCCGAGTTGTTAATAAAGCAAACCTAGAGAAACCCATGGTTGAAAATTCTTTAACAATGAGGAAACGAAACAGAAGATCTTAAGAGACTGTCAGCTAGGACCAGAGACTGTTATTTCTGAAGAAACATGAACACATTCCTTCCTTTCCGTAACTGCAGCTAAGTGCCTAGCTAGGTAAAATCAAGAGACCTGTAAAACATCTTACGTTTGTCAAGAAGTCTGCCTGGTTTTATATAACCTAGTTTTCTTCACTGTTTTAGTAACACCGTTTTAAGAACTGCTGTCTATCTGAAGACTTTGCCCCATCTTGCATTTCTGACCTGAACAACCACAAAGCCTCCCTGGACTCCAAAATTTAGTCCTTTACCTGTAAAACAGTACTTACTGCCACTCAGGACTCTGTCAATAAACACATGAAGACTGCAATAAACCCAAGACATGGCTACCCAAACACGTTGCTCCAAGGTGAGCTAGGACACCAATTCTCAAACTGGGGATTAATTTTCTGGAGGAAAATATCTTACGGAAGGAGCACAGCAGCAGGAAGATGATGAGTGGCATAAGGATGCATCGTGAAAAGGTAACTGAGGCAGGGAGCAACATAGAAAATGTTGCAGAGAGGAGAGGGAGTGAGCAAAGCTGAGAGCCTGAGCCCTCTACCAGATGTTACCGAGTCAAAACATCACATCTCAACCTGTAATCACCATGATTAGGGTAAGAATTAGAGACCGAGGCAACAAAGGCAACCTCGTGGTTGGTGTCTACTGCAGGCCACCCAATCAAGGGGAGCCTACTGACAAAGCCTTCTTACTCCCGCTACAGGAGGCATCGCGCTCACAGGCTCTTGTCCTGCTGGGGGACTTCAACCACCTCGACATCTGCAGGAAAAGTAGCACAGCGAGCTGTAGGCAATCCAGGAGACTCCCGGAGTGCACTGAGGGTAACTTCTTAAGCCACGTAACAGACAGCCCTACCAGAGGAGATGTGATACTGGACCTGTCGGTCACCGACACAAGTGAGCTAATCGGCGACATCAAGACTGGAGCCAGCCTGGGCTGCAGTGGTCATGCACTGGTGGAGTTCGCAGTCCTGAGGGATATGGGTCAGGTGAAGAGTAAAGTCAGGACCCTGAATTTTAGGAAAGCAAACTTCCAGCTCTTCAAGGAGTTAGTCTACAGGACCCCCTGGGAAACTGCCCTCAGGGTCAAGGGACCAGAACAGAGCTGGCTGATCTTTAAGGACGCTTTCCATAAAGCGCAAGAGCTCTCAATCCCCAGGTGGAAGAAATCAGGAGAGGAAGGCAAGAGACCGGCATGGATGAGTCGAGACCTGCTGGTCAAACTGAAGGGCAAGAAGGAAATGCACCGGCAGTGGAAGCAGGGACAGGTATCCTGGGAAAGTACAGGAACGCTGCCCAGTTGTGTAGGGATGGACGGGGCCAGGAAGGCCAAGGCGTGGCTGGAACTGAACTTGGCAAGGGATGCAAAGAATAGTAAGAAGGACTTCTATAGGTATGTCAGTCCAAAAAGGAAGGTCAAAGAAAGCGTACCCCCGATGAGCAAGACTGGCAAACTGGTAACAAGGGACAAGGAGAAGGCTGAGGTACTCAACAACTTTTTTTGCCTCAGTCTTCACTAGCAACCTCTCTTCCCACACCTCTCCAGTGGATGGACCGCAAGACGGAGACTAGGTGAGCAAAGGCCCTCCCACTGTAAGAAAAGATCAGGTTTGTGACCACCTGAGGAACCTAAACATACACACGTCCACGGGACCTGTGAAGATGCATCCCAGAGTCCTAAGGGAATTGGCTGATGTAGTTGCCAAGCCACTCTCCATACTTGAAAAATCACGGCAGTCAGGTGAAGTCCCTGGTGACTGGAAAAAGGGAAACATGATACCCATTTTTAAAAAGGGTAGAAAGGAGGACCCTGGGAACTACCAACTGGTCAGCCTCACCCCTGTGCCTGGGAAGATCATGGAACAGATCCTCCTAGAAGCTATGCTAAGGCACATGTTGGACAGGGAGGTGATTCGAGAGAGCTAGCATAGCTTCACCAAGGGCAAGTCCTGCCTGACCAACCTAGTGGCCTTCTAGGATGGAATGATTACAGCAGTGGACAAGGGAAGAGCTACAAATGTTGTCTGTCTGGACTTCTGTAAGGCCTTTGACACGGTCCCCCACAACATCCTTCTCTCTAAATTGGGAGAGATATGGATTTGAAGGGTGAACTGTTGGATGGATGAGGAATTGGTTGGATGGTCTCATCCAGAGGGTAGTGGTCAACGGCTCAATGTCCAGATGGAGATCGGTGACAAGCGGTGTCCCTCAGGGGTCCGTACTGCGACCAATACTGCTTAATATCTTCGTCAATGACATCGACAGTGGGATCGAGTGCACCCTCAGCAAGGTTGCAGATGACGCCAAGCTGAGCGGTGCAGCTGACACGCCTGAGGGATGGGATGCCATCCAGAGGGACCTGGACACACTTGAGAAGTCGGCCCATGTGAACCTCATGAGGTTCAACAAGGCCAAGTGCAAGGTCCTGCACCTGGGGCGGGGCAACCCCCGCTATCAGTACAGGCTGCAGGATGAAGGGATTGAGACCAGCCCTGCGGAGAAGGGCTTGGCGGTACTAGTGGATGAAAAGCCAGCAATGTGCACTCGCAGCCCAGAAAGCCAACCGTATCCCAGGCTGCATCAAACGAAGCACGGCCAGCAGGTCGAGGGAAGTGATTCTGCCCCTCTACTCCACTCTGGTGAGACCCCACCTGCAGCACTGCGTCCAGCTCTGGGGTCCCCAGGATAAGAAAGACATGGACCTGTTGGAGCAGGTCCAGAGGAGGGCCACAAAAATGATCAGAGGGATGGAACACCTCTGCTGTGAGGAAAGGCTGAGAGAGTTGGGGTTGTTCAGCCTGGAGCAGAGAAGGCTCTGGGGAGACCTTATCACGGCCTTTCAGTACTTAAAGGGGGCTTATAAGAAAGATGGGGACAAACGTTTTAGCAGGGCCTGTTGTAACAGAACATGGTGTAATGGTTTTAAACTAAAAGAAGGCAGATTCAGACCAAATACAAGGAAGAAACTTTTTACAATGATGGTGGTGAAACCCTGGAACAGGTTGCCCAGAGAAGTGGTAGAAGCCCCATCCCTGGAAACATTCAAGGTTAGGTTGGACGGGGCTCTGAGCAACCTGATCTAGTTGAAGATGCCCCTGCTCATCGCAAGGGAATTTGGACTAGATGACCTTTAAAGGTCTCATCCAACCCAAACCATTCTATGATTCTGTACAGTGCCACTATTATTCTGGCCACTGTGTACTTGTATACATACACGTGAGGAAGTCCTTTACAACTTAAATTTTACTCTGAAAGTTCTGAATTGCTTTAAAATTCACCTGAGGTATTCTCCAAAATATCCCTTCAAGAGATACTGATATTCAACTCCTGGACTTAACACTTTACTTGAGGTTGGTTTACAGCAGAGCAGCAAAGTTTTGTAGAACAAGTGAGACTAAGATTGCCCAGAAACATTCTCCTCCAAGTTCTGCCACACCCATGTGGCAGCACCTCCAGAAAACACTCTTCTATTTGCTCATGATGGTTCTAAACCTCTGCAACAAAACTTCAATAACATCCTCCCCACTGAAGCAGTGCTCTTGTTATTATGGACAGCAATCCAAAGATACTCAAAGAAAACTGTAAGATACACTTGGAAGCTAAAGGTAACAATAAGCAGGAAAAGAAAATACTTTACCATGTACATGAGACTGTTGGAAACTTTTTCCTGGTGCAAAGTGGAAATTTCCAGCTACCTGCAAGAGATAGTAATCTTTCATTAAAAGGTCTGAATCTATATAAATCAAGCAGCTGTTTAAAAAAAATCTAAAAACCCAAACAACAGTACAAGATATACAGCAAGTAACTCATTTTCATAGGTGACAATATCAGCAGATACTATCCTAAGAGGTATGAATTTCCCCTCTTCCTCATAGGCAGTCAGGTGGAAAGCCATAATTACATACTGATGTTGATATTAACTGTTCTATGCACATTACTTTAGTGGATATAAAAATGGGAAGGAGGAGGAATTAAGTCTACTGGGAAAGAACTGAATGCTGCTGCAGGAAATACAAAAAGCTATCATACAAAAAGGAGTGGAGAAAGTAACTGAGAGGGAGAGTAAGCAAGGTAAGAAAACCCTTAATACAACAAACCACAGTGATCCTACATATGCATCCATGAAAATAAGCTGCATACAAAAATAATGCACTAAACCTAAAAAAAAAACCAACCCCAAAACCAACCAAAAAAACCCCCACAACAAAAAATAACCCACAAACAAACACCACATTACCCCCCCCCAGTAAAAAAAACACAAAAAAGAAAAGACAAAGGTTATTAAAATTTCATCCTAGAATCTGAAAGGGATATGGATATTAGGTGGCAATCTTCCCTGACACTTACTAGCAATCATACACACTCCA